CTTAGGTGTCTGTTCTCCTGACATCCTTGGTGTTACTATCCTTAAATTGTGCCTCTTATACCTTTACCAGTTCATTAGCTTCTGTAGGGCAAATTTGATTCATTTCTCTTTATATCAGCTGCAGTAACTAGTACATTTCTCAGATGCTTAATAAATGCATCTTCTTTATTAATGTGAGTAAAACACATACTATGTGTTCAATTAAAATTTACAGAAACAAGGGAAAATCATTATAGGTCCTTGACAGTTCCACCAATGTGCTGAATTAAATCACTAAATGGCAGTACAGACATGGTTCTCAAAGCAAATACCTTCTGTTCTGATCACTTATTATTATTTAATAGATTTATTTGTGGTAGGTGGCAAAATGGTTCTAGAACTGCTAGGTTCGAGTTACTTCTTTACTTCCCCCTGTTCTTTGTGCAGAAAATTACAATGAAGACCAATTGATGTTTCACTGAAATTATTTTTCTTACTAAAGAATTAAAATAAACTTTTCATAGAATGTATCATTAAATAGGGTGTCAAATAGCTAATTTGAGAGAAGTAGCAGGATGGATTAGTGGTGGTTTATAATGTGGATTGAACTAAATACCTCAGGATCAAGAGACCAGCTGTTAAGAAAATTGTCACTGTTTACATGCCACAAACTACTTGAAAAAAAGATTTTGGAAAAGAACTCATTGATCTTAAGAAACCAACAATTTGTTGTGACTTCAATGCTCAACAGAAAAAAAAAAAAAAGTCAACTGTATTTCCAAAGGGGGAAGTCACTACTCATTCTCCCCTGGGCCCATTTATAATTTTTGACTCTGGTCTAGAGGGCCCAATTTTGCCATTAAGCCATTATTCCTGTCTTCATTTCCCTACCATACCTATATGGACATTGTGGGGACCTCTAAATTTAGGAAAAATACAGCTGGAAGTTTCTGTTCCCCAAAATACTGGAAACCAGTGCTATTTAATTAACTTCTTTAAACATTTATGAAGTATCTAATATGTGCTGGGTTTTCTAGTAGGTACTAGAGGGTCACAGGTGAACAAGAAATCATTCCTGCTATGAAAAAGCTCACAGTCTGGTCAAGTCAATGAGAATATGGAGGCATCATTCTTAGGTAAGTGACTGTGGAAATAGAGCTAAAAAGCAAAGCACTGTGGGAGCACAGGAGAGAGAGTGAGCTATTCTCATTGTGTGAGTTGTTGAAGTGAGGTGGGGGCTAAACTGGGTATAGAGACATTGTGGTTGCTCCTCCTGCATCTATCATCCTCACTTCCCCCTCAGTGGGTGACAGACATGTGACTGGATGGGATTGATCTCACCCTGACTCCAGGAGTGGGTGTTGTCCACCCAAAATGCCAGTATTACTCCTAGTGAGAAACATTTTTCTAAGCTGATAAGAGATATCTCATTCTGTACTGGTTCAGGGAGTCCAAGTCTAAGTCAGTCAACTCACAGCATTCCCCTGGCCATTAGTGTGGCCCAATTAGAACAGAGCTCTGGGCTTTTGTTCAATGGTTGTGGGCAAGCATCTCTTCTGTCCCTCATTGGGCATGAATGAAGAAGCACACGAAGCTCCAATTTCTGCTAATAGCCATCTTATGACCATGAGTGGAGCCTGTTTTAGGATAAAGCCAGCAGAAGAGACAGAAGAGAGGAATGATGGAAAAAAAATTGAGCCCCTGATGACATCAAGACATTTGACCAACTATCCTGAAGATTGTCCTTTCTCTAGATGTTCTAGTTCTCTAGATATTGATTATAAATCAATAAACACTCCCCCTCCCCCTTTTCTTTGGGATAGGTCTTGCTATCCTAGCGAGGCTGGCCTTGAACTCCAGGACTCAAGAAATCTTCCCATCTCAGCCTCCCAAGTAGCTGGGACTACAGCTAATGCACCATTATTCCTGGCTTAAATTCCTTTATTTTTAAAGACAGTTTCCGTTGAGCTTCTTTTATTTATAATTTGAAAGCATCCTAAATAGTACAGAGGGCCTCAAAATGAATAGGACTTCAATGGGTAGGGGATGGAAAAGAAAGGGATATTCCAAGTAATAAAAATAGCTTAAGCAAAGGTATTAAGAATAAAAAAAAATGTAGCAAATGTGTGGGCTCTGTGTGTGTGAAACATAAGGTGTTTATGGGGCATCTGTAATGAGGGAGCAGTCTATTCAAACACCCTGTTTCTAATTGAAGAGGAAGAAAGAAAGAAAAGGAGAGGCGGGAATAGAGAACCTAAGAATGTTTTTCTAGTGGCAACTTCAGATTGTTAACGGCACTGAATAACTACATTGATACATACAAAGAGAACACTGCCAATGATTTTTGTTTCTATAGTTCTTTCCAATATACTAGTGTTTATGATCAAATACATGTAAAAGGTTTTCAAAATTAACACATTGACTGCCACACTAGAAAAAAAATTTTTTTCCCTGGGGCCACAGTGTCTTATTATGAAAATAGAATAAAAACCTCAAAAACAAAATGATCCTTTCAATTTAATGAAAAATTTATTGTTTTTTATTGTTTTCTGTGTGTGAGTTATAAGCAACTTGAAAAGTAGTTTATGCAGCTCAAGGCAAAGAGATGTGTGAGTTATATATGCTTCATGAAGCCTGGGCTCAAAACTCACTAGTGTGAGTTAAATACAACTCACATGGCAGTGAATGTGTTAAATTTGTGGTAAATTTACCCATTTCAAGAGAACAATTTCAATTATATACAGTACACTAAATTGTTAGTGCAACTATGATGTATATAAAGGGTTTTCCATGTTAAAGCTTTATTGTAGGTAGAGGTGAGTATGGAGACACCATAACTATTGCTGTTAAAGAAGAAATATGTACTGAATTATTCTACCTTTGGAATTTGCAACTGTCTTGTATGTCTGTGTTTTCTTGGAATTCAGTGAGGTCTTAAATAAAATAAGGAAATGTAATTAGAGGAGTTTTATGGTGATGGGTTAATCATATTTATATTTGGTATATTTGAGTCTAAATGCTAATTTATACATGATTCTGTACCAGGAAAATTTATAAATTAATCTAAAAAAGTTATAGTCCTTGTTTTCAAGATGCTTAAGATCTTACTAAGAGCATGATGCTATATAGAGAACAGAGGATGTAAGCATATAAAAATATCTTTTAATCAAAAGAAATGTGGCCGGGCGCGGTGGCTCATGCCTGTAATCCTAGCACTCCGGGAGGCCGAGGCAGGTGGATCGCTCAAGGTCAGGAGTTCGAGACCAGCCTGAGCAAGAGCGAGACTCCGTCTCTATTAAAAATAGAAAGAAATTACCTGGACAGCTAAAAATATATATAAAAAATTAGCCGGGCATGGTGGCGCATGCCTGTAGTCCCAGCTACTCGGGAGGCTGAGGCAGGAGGATTGCTTGAGCCCAGGAGTTTGAGGTTGCTGTGAGCTAGGCTGACGCCACAGCATTCACTCTAGCCAGGGCAACAGAGTGAGACTCTGTCTCAAAAAAAAAAAAAAAAAAAAAAAGAAATGTTATATATTGTTCATGGGGTCATTTTGGGAGTCTCTTTTCCATAGCAGGAAAGATAAAAGAAAAAAGTAGAAATAAGAAAGCCAACATCAGGGAGAGAAAGTCACTTTGGAGAAAAGAAGCTTCCTAAAGGGAGAGAAAGGATTTCATACAAGCAAATTTTTAAAAAGGGCAGTGCCAAGAGGTAGAATGCACTACTTCTGGGTTCTCACAGTGCATCTGGCTATTGCTTTGTATCTCTTCCAACATCAGCCTAAAAGCCACAACATTTTAAGGATTAAATTGAGAGGGCAGACTCAGGATTCCCTTATCAGTTCTCTACTTGCTTAAATGTGCACCTTCACTAGGAAACCCATCTCACATATGTTCTTGGAATACAAAATGCATATGGAGGTGGTCCTGGAAAAGTGCTATCATTGATTACTTTTATTTCAACCCCTCTTTGAAGTTCATTTGGAAATCAGATGGTAGGAAAGCTAAATGAGGTTTAGATAGCTTCCCATCCATACAATCTATATTTAAATTTATTCAGGTACTTTGATTGTTTCTCCATTTTCGTTGTTGTTCCTAAGTGTAATAAATTAACAGGATGGCAGAAATTTTGTTGAAGTATCAAATCTAAGCTAAATCTAGTATGGGTACAATGTTTTGTTTTGCTTCTATACAGAAGCTTTGGAATGGCTATGAAATTCATATTACCATACAAAGAAAATGAGGATAAAACAAAAAATATTCAAGCTTATCATTTACAACATATATGAGGAATGTAACAGTATGGGAAAAAATTGTGAAAAGCCAAGGTAAACTTGCAATGACAATGGTGTGTGTATGTGTGCGTTCATGTGTTTGTGTGTGTGCATGTAAGAAAGAGAGAGAGAGAGAAAGAGAGAAAGAGAGAAACACAGTAGCTATCTTCATGCATAATACATTTTAGGAATTTAATCCTTGTCCCATTAGGAAAAATCTTGTCCTTTCAGATCACAAATTCTATACATTAATAAAAGCTAAAAGAAAAGATTAGAGGACGATGGCATTTTTAGACAGTAGTCTCCATCTTCCTCATTTGCCAGCAAATTAATAAAACTCCTCTTTCCTTCTCCTCAAAAAAAAGATGATTAAGTAGTTTGATTATTTAATAAAAGTCTATCAACATTCTAAAAAGTTATAAGTTCTGATTAAAATTGATTTATTTTTATGCTTATTAATTCTCCTGTTAACATAAGATTAGTTGGCAGCATTCAAAGCCACAAATTATTTTTCTATGTTGTCAATGGTAATTGTGGTGTATTCAGAATAAATAGGAAAAAGAAGTCCAATTACACTTGAATTAAGAAAAATTAATAAGACATATAAGTAATGTTCAAGTTAATTTTTTATACAACCAATTTCCCTTCTGTTGGAAAACTTATAGAGTAGTACACAGATTCCCAAGGACTAAACTGAAAGTAAACTTCATCTGGAAATTGAGGAAGTTGAGAAAGGAAGAACCACTTGTACCTGGATACTGGTCAGAGTTGTGTACTGGTAAGCCTTGACCACCAGGTAATTTGCTTCCAGGTCTATGAGTCCCAAAATCATATACTTCCACCATCTTCGTCGTAAGATTGCCAAGAGGTTTTCTTCTCCTGTGTTATAAAGTTAAGAAGAAATGGGTTAGGTTCTTGACAAATAACAAACTATATATTTAGAAGGATTCTAAAATGTTGTAGCATTACATTTTTTTCACCATAACCTTAACAAATATTTAAACAAATCAATCAATTTACCAGAGACTCATATGTGTTTATTTAGCAAATGGTCTTCATCTTAGATTTTGGCTCATTGAGTTAGTTTCTATGTCAGAGTAAGACTGGGCAGGTTATTAACTCACCATGCAAGACATTTTCTTGTGAACATATGAAGGAAAAAATAATTACACCATGATAAAATAAAAGGAAAGATGTGCCAGAAAGGCTGAATAAACACACACATTCCAAACTATACTAAATTTCAGGATTGTGGTAAAATAGATACACATGAAAAGAATGCGACCAAATACAAAAAAATTTGTGCTCAATGGCAGATCTGTAGTAAGAATCTGAGATGCTGTCCTGAGTTCTTGAGCCGCTTTGAACAGTGTATGCACTCTGGGGATGTGTGGGTGATGGGGAGAGAGAGGAAGTTCAGGGTCACTCTCAGATGGAAAAGAGTGCCATTTGACCATGTCTCAATACTGCCAACAACTATAATCTTCACCATCTTGCCTCTTAAACTGGTAGCATCAGAACAGACTTTGAATCTCTCAGTTCTGCATCCTCATTTTCACATATATTTTGGCCCTGAGATAAACCTTATTTCTTGACATGGGGCAATCACGATTAGTAACAATGATAACTCTCTTTAGCCAACCTGTGAGGTCTTCATAGAGGATGTGGGATGTGCAGAAACTCTGAGAAAATGGTGACCGATACCTTATTTGTGGCTGTATAACAAATTATCCCTTAACCAGAGCTGTTTAAAACAAGAAATATTTATTATCTCACAGTTTTAGGGGGTCAAGAATCTGGGTACAGCTTAACTGAATGTTTCTGACTTGAGGTCTCCCAGTTAGTTGTAGCCAAGCTGTTAGCCAGGGATGCAGTGTCATCTGAAGGATTGACTGGGAGGGATCTGCTTCCAAGCTCACTCATACGGATGTTGGCTGGCCTTGGCCCCTCATCTCACAGGCCTGCCTCAAAACATGGCAGTCAGTTTACCCCAGGATGAGGCGAGAGAGAGGGAGGGAGAGAGAGAGAAAGAAGAAGGAGAAGGAGGAAGAGGAGGAGGAAAGGGAGGAGGGGGAGGAAGAGAAGGAGAAGGAGAGGAAGCAAGAACACCAAAGATGTAAGATTAGGTTTTCTATAACCTAATTCCAAAAGTAACACTTCTACCCTATTCTATTCTTTAGCAAAGGGTCAATAAGTCCAACCCCACTCAAGAGAGAGAATTTCATAAGGGTGTAAATATTAGGAGGCAGGGATCATTGCAGGTTATTCACAGGCTGCCTACCCAGTGACACATACCTTTAGTGCTATGGCTGTTATTTGGCTAGTCCTCAAGAGCTGCAACAGAGCCCCACATCCTCACCTGTCTTTGGGCCACTCCCAAAACTTTGAATTCCTGATTTCTGTCTTTGGCCTTATTCTGATGACCAATAAATGAAGTGATCTTTCCAACCTTATGGAGATCTGTGAACACAAAGCTCTCCAGCTACATAGAGACTATCAGAGTATGGGTTGTGGCTAGTGGAAACAAGGAAGGAAAGGTCTCTTGACCACTGGTAGTCAACCCACTAGTTTTCTAGCCTAGTTTTTGATGTCACACTTCTTATAGCCTATTATCCAAGCACACTCAAAGTCTTTCTGTCTTAGTGAACTGCACTTTCCATATTGCATCTATTAACTCTTTAAAATTTAGTTCTTTTGCCTAACCTCACTCCCCAAATGGGCAAAATGTACCCATCTCTGTATAATCCTTTCACATGATTGTGGTTACTTATAAATAGTCTCTTCACTGGACTTGGAGTTTAGGATGGTAAAGTTAATATCTTATTCAAATATGTATCCACAGCACCTAGCATAGTAATTTATAGCAAGGGTTAGCTAAGTATTTTGGAAGGAATGAATTAATGAATTGAAAAAAGTGTGAAATGCTATCTATCTGAATATGTCAAGAGCAGTGCTAGAATGTGAGTCATTGTTCTCATGGTTTTGCACGAGAGGGCTGGTAGATGTGATCTCCAAGGTCATTTCTTCACAGCTGGCTCATTTTGGCAATGTCCTTGCACAGCACTTCTGCCTCTCTTACTTGCCTACCCATTTGATAATCAACATACCTGTTGGGATTTATCTTATAAATTGGTGATTCTTAACTTGATTGCATATTCATATTATCTGGAAAGCTTTTTTTAAAAAAATCCCAATGCCTGGAACCAGCCCCTGGAAATTCTGGTTTAATTGGTCTTGAGTGGGGCCTTGGCACTGAGCTGAGGATCAAATCTAGGACTTTCAGATGGCTAATGTCCAATGGTCATCCTCAGGGTGACCTAGGCTAGGAATTCCAAAGAGATATAGCCACAGAATGGTGGTGAAGACTCTTCACACCAAAGAAACGACCTGAACATTTGGTCCAAAGTATGCTTTCTCTTGTCTCTGGGCCTTTCCATGTGCTGTTTCCTCTGCTTGGACTATTCTTCCTTTAGTCTGTAAATGAAGGATCAGCATACACACTTCTACCAGGAAACCTTCTTTGATACTCCTATCACCCTATGCTGTGCTCCCTTAACACACTGTGCTTATCCTACATACTGTACTTATCTTCCTGTCTTATAATTACCTGCCTTCTTGACTCTATTACTCATTAGATTAATAGCAATTTGAAGAGAATGGCATTATCTTGGCCATCACTTTATCTCTAGATCCAACAGTGCATGACAGGCAGTCAATAAATAATAGAGCATAAGAATAAATTTCATGTTTAATAATCTCAGCAATGTTAAATATCATTGAAATTGAGGTACTTAAAAATATATCTACTATAAACATATATGTACCAGCCAATGGGAATTGTTTTCTAGTTAGCATGCAGACAACATCTGAAAGAAATTAATTTGGTGAACATTTTACATATCATACACTGTACATGAGACATAAAAAGGTCAATGGCATATTTAACCTCCAAGCTGCAATTCTAAAGTCACACAGGTCATTGACCCAGTTAATTTACACAATGAACAGAGAACTGCCAAACTCAGAGCACACCTGCTACATCTCAATACATAGCTCTGAAAAAAAGAGGTTATAGTGCTGTTGGTTTCAGCAATCAATAACATATTTAAAGTGTATTTCATTACACAGATTCAAAGGAATGATTAGTTGCCTTGCTGTTCTGCTGAAAAAGTTTGCAAAGCAAAACACCCTAAATAAATGCTTCCATTGTTTCACTGAAGTACCTGAAAATATACAACATGCTTACTTAGCAGACTTACCCAGGAAGACAAGAAGAAGGCTTTTTTATTTTTGGCTGAGCGAAAAATACAACTGTTAAAAGAACTGCTTGGGGATTTATCTACATGACTCCCATTAACACTGATGTATAA